TTCCTTAGGAAAGAAATAAGAATAAATTTAGACCATTGGATACAACATATCAATGATCATGATCAAGTCAAACTTTAATAAATAATGGTCAATCATTAATGGCAATTTAGTAATTATTTGATCATAGCATGTCAATTATATACACTTGACCAATAATTAGGGATAAGTTGGTAAATACACATATATTTGTGGGACCCACTCACCATTTAAATATATATTTCTCTCTCATTAAGCATCACCTTCTTCTCTTCCTACTCAAGATTTGCAGAGACGCACGAACACATACACGCACACACACACGGACACGGCGGCCGCCGCCGACAGACATGCCGGAGCCAGGCCTCATAGCTGCCTTCACACAGCAAATCGTCGCCGCAATACCACCCTCTGACTCTGCCTCCCGGCCCGGCCACCGTGCCGTCGAGCACTACGACGGTCCCAGCGTTCACGGCCGCCTCTGTTGGCCTGAAAGCCGCAGTTCGGCGCGGTCATTATTCCGTCGAGCGCCACGGAAGTCCGACGTCCACGACAACAGCTCATCACCGACGACGAGGATCTATTTTCAACCCGTGACGTCAAGGCGGCGGCGACTCTTGGCGGACTGGACGGTCGTGCGATTGAGTGGTCGACGGCGGGCGAGGTCCGACATTCACGGTCACAGCTTCCCTTCTTTCCGGTTACCGATACTTGCTTCCAGATCGTGATGTCACGTCGGCGGCAGATCTGGACGGATAAGACGGCAGGGCGGTGGGCTGACGGCAGCGGGCGTCCGATTGCCGGTTGCAGCAACTCGGCCTGCGTGTGTGTGTGTGTATCTGCCATTTTCTCAGATTTTTATATGTTTTTTTTTGGGGCATTGAGATGAGAATTAGATTTTTTGCAGGGGTTTTTGTGCAATTTCATAACTTTCATTAAATTGTATTTTAATAGTGTTACTATTTCGTAAGTTATCAAAAATTTAATATATTGCACATTAACAATACACGATTTGCACGATATTGTGAATATACGAGCACCATATAAAATTTGTTAAATGTTTACAAAATTACATAGTTATTAATTGATTGGATTATCGGTCGATTAGCCGATGGGATATTGAAATCGGAATATCATAAAAAAATATTATTTGGTATTATACAAACATATTTAATAGGGTAATATTTTTCGATTTAATAATTTTTATTATTTTTTTAATAACAAAAGTAATATTCTATATAAATAAATTATAATGTGCAATCTACACGATATTAATGTGCTAATTTTCTAACACAAAGGTGCACGGTGTCGGTTGATATTGTGTATATTGATACGAACGAATTTTTGTCCCAAATAAAATTGAAATGGAAATTAAATATTTGTGTTATTCGGTCGGTCAATTTATTTATTCTAGATAATTGAAATAATTTATTATTTATATTAAAAATATATTTAATATGTTACTATTTTTACTTATTATTTTTATTTAAAAATATAATATAAGAAATTGATCTCGATAAAGTGCAAGAACCAAATTCGATAAAGTGCAAGCACCTATACATAAATGTGCATCTAGTATAGTATTATTGTGCAATATATCCTGCATGTATTTTTTTACGAGTATTCCAATTTTAGAAAAAAAAAATGATAACATCACTATACATTTATCAAATATTTATATAATAAAAATATAGTATGAAATATTGATTTCGATAAAGTGCAAGAACCAATCTCGATAAAGTGCAAGCACACATACATAGACGTGCATCTACTATAAGATTATTGTGCAATATATCTAGCGTGAATTGTTTATGTGCATTTTAATTTTGGTTAAATGATGTGTATTTTAATTAATATTAATTGAAATAGTATATTTATTATTTTAATATTTTTAATATATAATTAAATAATATTTTTAATATCTTTTTATAAATTACAAATTTAACCCATGGACTAAATTGAAATATAATCAAAATGTCTAATATTGCAATCAAGTCATCTAATCTCTTCTAATTTACATAAATTATGCCCTCTACAACATGATGTCGTGACTTCCCGTCCACGCCCATTTTCGGCAGCGCGGCTGGAACTGGCGGAGGTTCGGCAGTGCTGAGATGATCTGGGTTGAGGTGCGACATCGGGGTCCGTTTGTTGACAGTGGGAGCCGCCATTAATGGTCGACGTTCGAGCTTGGAGCTCGATTTTCCGGCGCGGTGGGGGGAAGGGCGAGGTCGACGGCGGAGCTGGTGGACGAGCAGGAGAGTCAGGGAGGTGGGAGAGAAGGTGGCCGTGGAAAAAGATGTCCGCCGGAATATCCAGAGCAGCGGCGTGCGGCAGAGGAGGTGCCGCGGTGGAATTTAACCTGCAGATCGGCAGCGCGACCGGACATCGTGGAGGTACACCGGCGCCGGAGCCTTCAGTCGGACAATCGTCGCGTGAGACTTTGGTCGGAAATTGCAGAGGTGGAGCCGTGGTTCTGTGTGTGTTTTTGTGTATGTGCGTGCGTGTGTGTGTGTGTGGAGAGAGAGAGAGAGAGAGAGAGAGAGAGAGAGAGAGAGAGAGAGAGAGAGAGAGAGAGAGAGAGAAATAATGGGGTAGGTGACGGTTGTTGGGGGAAAGTGATATGTTTTAATTTGGGTGGGGTGGGTCACGTTATGGTGTGTAAATTACCACATTGTCCTTAATGATGGTATAATTTTGACTTTTTTTTAGCCATTAGATCATCTAATCTAATGGCTAATATTTATTCTTATTTCTTTCTTGGGGAACCATTCTCACCAGAGCGTGACCCTATATATATATATATATATATATATAGGAGGCAGATCAAATCAGGCCAGCTCTTAAAACGAGGTCAGCTCTTAAAATGCGGACAACTCTTAGCAACTACAGACAACTAACCTAGTCACTACTAACCTAGCAACTACAAAGAACTAGCCTAGCAACTACTAAACAAAAAGACATAAAAAATACTCTCCCCTCTCTCTTCTTTTCTCTCTCTAGGATTCCTCCGTTTTTCCATCGCCGTCCGTTATCCGGCCCTCTCCTCCGCCTAGTTGCTCCGCCGGCCTCCGCCGTTGTCGGCGGCGAGCCTCTGGATCCAGTTACTGCTCGTATTTCATCCCTTCCATGGATTCCAACCCAATATTCTCGGTCCCGATTTCCTCGGAGCCTTTGTCCTCTGGCCCTCCGATTTTTCGCAACCCAGTGCCGGATTTGGCCGCCATGATTTCAGAGGAAGTGAACAAATCTGTTTTGAAGTTCTTGCAGTCACAAACAACAGAAAGGGTTTTTCCTTCTTCGAATCCCGTCCCCCAAACGAACAATGACTTCGTCTCCACACGTCAAAATCAGATCTATGGGGAGCCCAAATCTTTTATTCTGAGCTCGTTTGCTGCAGTTTCCGACGAGCCTCGGCCAGTCGCCGACATTGATATGGCCTCCGCCCTTGTCCCGGTGGTGTTTGGTTCTCTTCCGCCGGTAAGATCTGTCGGTTTTCCACTCATGACGTCACCCCACCCTCTCTCTCTCCTACAATGCCAAGCCCGTAAGGCCCTTCTCTTCCCAGCCCGGTTCACGCCAACAACAAACCCACCTCCCGTAGCTCGACCAACTGACTCGCGACCACCAGGCCTTTGCCGGCTCCGGCATTGTCACGGCCACCGTCCATCAGCTGGCCAGCCATATGCCCAAGACCACACCGGAATTATCCCCTACGGTCGGAAATCTCAGAACTCGGCCAAATTTTCCCTTTTCGACCGAGAAACTTGCCGGAAGCTCCACCATTGCCGCCAGAGACTACGATTCGTCCATTTTATATGTGCTTGAG